CTGGGTATGTATGCATGTATGTATGTGATACTTTTACTTACATAATTGGAATGGTTATTAGTATTGTTACTTCTTGTTGTATTAGATGTTGAAGGGGTGCTAGTTTCTGCATGTATGGCAGTTAATTGTCCACCTACATCGCTATTACCATCGGCTTCAACGTTATTATTATTTTGTACGTTTGCAAGTCCTCCAGTGCTCAGACAATTTATATCTGTGTTAGTTTTAGATAGAGATCTGCAATACATTTGTTAGTAAATACATCGCTTTTGTAAGAAGATATATTTTATAATAAATCACACTTACAGTCTTACATCATCTCGTACAATTGTACCTTCACTTCCTGAGACTGCTAATGGTATAATGTTGTGTTTGTTTGCAAACAGTTCTGTCAACTCTCTGCAATATGATAAACATTATTGTATATATAATTATATATTAGTCATATATATTATATAAAAACTTGTTTATATAATATATATGCATCGATGAATATCTTTTTTATAAATGTCAATATATTGATTAATGCTTACGTTTCATAAGGACATGATGCTCGATGTCTGCCTGTCTTTTTATTATTTGTCACCATATTTTTATATGATCTGTCAAGCGACTTAAATTTATTTTCGACTTGATTTGCAGAAACATTATAACCATGTGACTGCAATGTTTCGGATAGTTTGCACCATAATCTTTTTTTTGTTTTTGTTTTCTGCTGCTTTGTTACATTTTTATACATTTCTAAGAATAATTTTGTTGATGCATCTATCCATTCCAATGGTTCTTCACGTTCTTGTACTGCTTTATTATTAGTAATATTATCTGCTTCAATATACTGTTCCTTTTGTATCATGTGATGTTGTACATGTTCATGTAATTTTATAAATATTGTTTCATTGTCAAGAGTGGCTTGTAGTGTATCAAGAAAAATCAATTTCATTGTACGCAATTTGCACCTTGTTCCCTTCTGTAAATTAATATTATTTATTATACATATTTATTTATATATCTATTATATATATATATATATACACAGGGTGTTCGGAAAGTACCGGGACGCCCGAATATCAGGAAAAATATAAGTTTTACAAAAAAATGTTTCAGACAAAAGTTGTGGCGTTTAAAAAGATGTATTTACTGATCACATCAGTTTGACCTTGGGTTGCGTAGCGAAGGTCAGGTCAAGGTCACATTAATTTTTTTAAATG